AAGCTATCTATTCTTTTGATGTTTGTGATTACACAGTCCATCACCAGCCTTTGTCGCGCTCTCTGACGCCTGCAATATTCACTTGTCAGTCTGGGATCTCAAATCATTAGATTTTTACAACACTTGATGGATGGAAATGGAACGTGTTTGCTTCAAAAAGCAAATAAAGCTTGATTTCAAAGCTGCAGAGGTGTATCGTAGAAGTAGCAGAGAGACTGGAAAAGACACGGTAGGTGAACATACCATCCAGAAATGGTTGGTGTTGGTGTGATTCTGAAGACAAATCACTCCAAGTTAGATATATTGAGTTCAAGAAGACCCTCTGAACTGAACAGCAAGAAGTCGATGCCCTTCGGACATGCGCACAAATAGACTAGTCTTGCCTGGAGTACGCGGGTCAAGAATTTGTAGGGAGGCTTAGCGTATTTGATATAACCTATCTGCGGACACATCCTCATATAAATCTTCACCTCCTGTAAACACCAAATTCGTAGTCTCATATGTAACCTTTTCATGGAAAGATTTGGCCCATGCTCAGGATGGAAAGCATTGGGGATGGAGGGTTTAAGGAACAATGGCAGCCTTGACTCTTTCTCATTCCCGTTTTTTGCATTCCTCTAATGATGTCTGTGCAGTCTATTATTTGCTTTTTCAGTATTTTATCATTAGAAAAAATGGCGTGGAAATGAGTCCGGATAGTTTGAGCCACAAGATGACGTGTAGTAAGATGGAAAAGCAGTAAGCTGGCTAGGGTAAATTGGTTTGTTTAGGAGACAGTGTTTCATAAAAGTGGAGTTTGCAAGATAGTACGCCATGAGGAATAGATGATGACTTTTGCCGATGATCGCTTTATTAAGTATAGTACAACTTAAGAGGCTTTCTGTGGCTATTTATTTTTACTATAGACGACTTTACTGGGCCATTTTATTGAGTGTTTATATGATAAATTACTGCATAACAGTAAAACCTCTAAGTGTTTTTGACAGCTACAGTTCCTCCTGAGAGCGGTGAGTTATTTGTTATTATTCTATGCTTTTTCGATTGCCTTAAAGTCTGCAATTCGCCGCTTTTATCTTGTGTTATGGT